GGCCGCCAACCTGACCGGCAGCCACAAGCTGAAGCCGCTGGTCATCGGGCGGCTGCCGGATCCGCCCAGCCTGCGCCACCACAACCAGGACAAGTTCCCGGCCTCCTACCGCTACAGCCCCGACGCCTGGCTCAGCCGCCCGCTGCTGCGGGGCTGGTTCTTTGAGGAATTTGTCCCGGGCGTCAAACGCTACCTGCGCCGAAGCTGCCTGCAGCAGAAGGCCGTGCTGCTGGTGGCCCATCCGCCCTGCCCAAGCCCAGCTGCCAGTATGCCCGCCCTGGAGGACAGCGAGGATGCCCCCGTGCGGTGCAGGCCGGAGCCCCTCGGCCCTCCGGAGGAGCTGCAGACACCGGATGGCGCTGTGCGGGTGCTGTTCCTGTCCAAAGGCAGCAGCCGGGCACACATTCCCGCACCGCTGGAGCAGGGCGTGGTGGCCGCCTTCAAGCAGCTGTACAAGCGCGAGCTGCTACGGTTGGCTGTGTCCTGCGCCAGCGGCTCCCCGCTGGACTTCATGCGCAGCTTCATGCTCAAGGACATGCTCTACCTGGCCGGCCTCTCCTGGGACCTGGTGCAGGCGGGCAGCATTGAGCGCTGCTGGCTGCTGGGCCTGAGGGCCGCCTTCGAGCCCCGGCCGGGCGAGGACAGTGCTGGGCAGCCGGCCCAGGCTGAGGAAGCTGCTGAGCACAGCAGGGTGCTCAGCGACCTCACTCACCTGGCAGCTCTGGCCTACAAGTGCCTGGCTCCCGAGGAGGTTGCAGAGTGGCTGCATCTGGACGATGATGGGGGTCCACCCGAGGGCTGCCGGGAGGAGGTGGGCCCAGCCCTGCCCCCTGCAGCCCCTCCGGCCCCAGCCAGCCTGCCTTCTGCCATTGGGGGAGGAGAGGAGGAGGAGGAGGCCACGGAGTACGGAGGGACCTCGGTGCCCACTGCCGGGGAGGCTGTGCGAGGGCTAGAGACAGCTCTGCGGTGGCTGGAGAGCCAGGACCCCAGAGAGGTGGGGCCACTGAGGCTGGTGCAGCTGCGCTCACTCATCAGCATGGCCCGGAGGCTGGGGGGCATCGGGCATACCCCAGCAGGCCCATAAGATGGTGTGTGACCAGACCAGCCCAGTGACCTTTCTCCTGCTGCACTTGGAGGGAGGGGACACACACAGTCTCCCATCTCCCTTCCCCCGGGGTGGCCCACCCCATGGGTACAGGGGGTTCCAGGAATCCAAGTCCAGCCTGGCTTGGAGGAGCTCTGTTGGTGAGAGGTTGCCCTGCCTCACTGGCACCCCAGTCTCCTGGGGGCCCAGCTGGAAGAGGCCTGGCCCATTCTCCTCTCAGGGCAGGCATGTATGCGGGGCATACAAGGCACAGCACCTGTCGGAACAGGTGACTGTGTTCCCGCTCTGGCCCCCGTGGGGCTGGGCCTCTGCCCCTGTACCAGTCGAATGCACTGGATGAGGGCCGACACTCCTGTCTGCTGTCGAGCCCTGGTGCTACGTGGCCCCAGAGCCACAGCGCAGTCATCTCAGTGGCAAAGCACACCACTTGGTTCTATTTTTTTTTAAACACATTAAATCTGTTTTTAAAGATACTCTTCAGAGGGGCCGTGAGAACAGGGGCCAGGTGGGCTGGTCTCGGGCCGCCCTGCGGTTGCTATGGAGGTCAGAGGCCCGAAGTACTGGAGCATCACTGTGGAGTGGGGAGGGATAGAGCCCCGTATTTGGGGTTTCCATAGGTTCCGGGTGCAACAGGGAGATGTGGAGTTCGGTTTCCTTGGATTTTTAGTTTTCCCTAAGAAAACTCTGGTCTGAACAGATCTCTTACGCCATGGATTTGGCAGCTGCCTGGATTTGCGCCCTAGTGACTTGGCCAATGGCAGGAGAGTTTCCCTGGCTTCCTCATCAGCTACAGACCATTTTTTCCAGTCCCAGGGCCCGGAGCCACGTGACATACCTGGAAGCAGGCCCTGGCACTGACAGCCCCCAGGTCAATACGCAGTGCCACCCTCTGTGGGCTCTTTTCCCCACCCTCAGACTTTTCTGCCTCTCCCCAGACTGCCAAGGATGTGGCTGACAAGCTGCTCCTGGGAGGCCTAGTTTGAAAGGAGTAAAGGGTCCCAGGGCCTGTCCAACCCTGGTTCTGTTCTGCTCCAGCCAGGTCTAGACCTAGAGTCCTGGTTGGACTGGGGCCAGGGATGCCCATGCCTCCCCAGGTAGGGTGGGAAATGCCTTTGCAGAGATGCTGCCTGAGCTGGTGTGAGAGGCAGGGAGCTGGCCTGCTTGCCTCCAGGTGTTGGCCCCTCATCCCCACCTGCCTCCCGTGTCCTAGCAGTGGAAACCTTGAAAACCCGGAGTTATGGAGTGCAGGGGTAGCCTGGAGGCTTGCACAGGGAAGGGAAGGGCTGTACACCAGCTTGTCAGTGGGGCAACTGCAGGGAATGTCCCCCAAAAGTGACTTCTATACAGGTCCAAGAACAAGCAGTTCCTTGCACCTGTCCCCAAGTCAAGGAATATATACATATATATGTATAGATCTATATCTCAAAATCTGAGAGCTCAGCGAGGGTGTGGAAGTTTTGGGAAGAAGAAACAGACTCCCTGAGCAGAGCTCAGGGCAGCAGCTCCAGGCACGCCTGCGGAGCCCATCAGGCCACCCCCACCTACAGGAAGAGCCTCTGGCCTGAACTGCTGGGGATGGGCTGCAAAAAGCCGGAGACATTTGGGCCAGCACCTTCCAGGGGCTCAGGCACCCAAGGCAGGGACACCACCTCTGCTCTGCACCCAAGGCGGGGACACCACCTCTGCTCGGCACCCAGGGCGGGGACACCACCTCTGCTCGGCACC